GTAGAGATGAGGTCCTGCCAAGTTGCCCAGGGGCAGGTCACGAACTCGTGGGCCATGATGCAGTTTTAACCACTTACAGGGGATCTTTTTTGAATAGACACTTTTTCCAAGTGGCTGAAAATATTATCAAGTGGTCACTTTGGGCCACTGCTTCCCTTTCGAGAGCTTAAACTGCCATGAACAAAAATAGGCCCTTTAAAGCCAGGCGCGGTGGCTCACACCTGTAATCTCAGCACTTTGGGAGGCAGAGGTGAGAGGATTGCCTGAGCTCAGAGGTTTGAGACCAGCCTCGGCAACACAGTGAGAGCTCGTCTCTACAATAAAATTCAAAACATTAGCTGGGCATGGTGGCGTGCGCTTGTGGTTCCAGCTACTTGGAAGGCTGAGGTAGAAGGATTGCCTGATCCCAGCAGGTCAAGGTTGCGGACAACTGAGGAAAAAAAAAAAAAAGCAAAAATAGGTCCTTTAATCTAGAGGATCTATGTTTTTACAGAGACCCACAATAAGAAATACATTTTACATCTTCCATTGGTGAACACAGAATATGAAACAATAATTATCCTTACTACTGGGACACTCTCTGATATTTTCAATTTGCCTTTATTCTATTCCAAACTTAAAAATTGCTCATTATGACACACTGTATTGATTTCATGATCCACTAATGGCACATGGATCACATTTGAAAGTCACTGCTCTAGACTGTCTCCCTTGCCACTTAACTAGATTACTGTGTAGCCCAAGCGGCTAGAAAAATTGCTTTTTGTAAAACTTCTTCTAGCTGTTTCACTGAACACTTAGCCCATGAGCACTTGATTTGCACATCAGGAATGGTTACCCCTCTTTCAAGGGACTCTGGGGACATCTTGGACAGTACAGCCTTTTGCTGCGCACACACTACTGATCATTTAAGAACCTTAACCTTTGCCCACCAAACACCGGTAGGGGTCTCCTAAGTTATTCCAAAGGTGTGCCTGTCCAATTTCCAGCCCCTGGGAATGAAAATCACTGTCAGGTCTGGACTAAATTAGGATAAACTCTAAATCTGCTTACTTTCAAGCACCCCATTCTCCAGAGCTGGAGTCTGCCCATAGGGAGCTCTGGAATGAGATGGTTTCATGTGGTTACATCGTTGCCTTCCAGGCCTATGCTTTCTCATTCTCAGCTCAGAAAGGGGCAACTTACTTCTCTCATGCTAATTGCTTTTACCGAGAAAAAGTAGAGAGGAATTAATTTACATTTTAATATCATTTTTTAAAAAAGCAATACTTACCTTTTATTTTGCTAATGTATTTAAGACAAAGAAAGAAAGTGCAGTTACCACCAGACAGAGGGTAAGGGGAAGTCTGGCAGACGGCTGTGTGTGAGAAGTCAGTCCTAAGGCATCACTATACTAATGTGGCTTTCAGTACCAGTTAACCCTGGTTTTTCCTCTTCAAATAACTGGCGGCATGCAAATCATCTACCACCCTCAAATCATTTGAGGAATCTTGGTTTGAAAGAGCAACAGTATCTAGTTACTCATGTTCATGATAGTCCTGCATCTCAAAGTTGCCCTTTGCACTGCTTTTTCCTTCCCCTGCGACTGGGATGTCTGAACCCGGGTGCTATGCTATGATAGAAACATTTTTGTAGAAGGTATAGACTAGTATAAAGGTCTTGGACTTTGGAGTCATAAAATCATGGGTATCTGCAAAGCCTAATTAGCTATGTAAACTTGCACAGGTCAACGTCTCTTAGACTCAGTTTCCTAATCTAGAAAGTAAGCTTAATAACAATCTTACTAGGTTGCTGTGAAGTTTACAAATATATGTAAATCACCTAGGACATTTTCAATGAAGAAAACAGGCATGCAGAGAAGTTAAGAAACATGTACAAGGTCACATGCTAATATCAGCAGTGAAGTAGTATAATTAAGCAGTAAAAGAATCCTCAGTCCTGGACGTCAGGTAGCACTGGCCTGAAAAAGTAGGGCTCTTACACGATACATTGCTCTGTGATGGGAATTCTAATGCTTAAAGAGTATTTTAGTTTCAGTTCAAGTTTTCCTTTCAGCTAGTCTGAGTCTACACTTTTATTTTCCTTCCTAAGGCTCCAAGAAACCTCTACTCCAGCTTTGCTGTTTTCTTTTTGCCTAAAAGCAATGTTAGCTACTTCACTAATCTACTGATTTTTGGGAGGAATGCTGATTTTAAAAGAAATGTAAAATATTTGAAGGTTATTAGCAAGAGCTAGAGTTGCTCTATAAGGTGTGAGTCACTTCCCTTTAAAATCTTTTTTTCCTTATAAAACACATTCTCGTTGTTAAAAAAAAAAGTGGGGGTGGGGGTGGGGGTGGGGAGGAGACAGAGGATAAACTTGATTCTATTACCCAGAGAGTTAAAATCAAATAACTTTTTTTTCTTCCAGCTTTTCATTTTTCTTTTCTTTTTTTGTAGAGACAGTGTCTTGCTATGTTATCCAGGCTGGTCTCAAACTCTGGCCTCAAGTGATCCTCCTGACTTAGCCTCCCAAAGTGCTGGAAATATAGCTCTCAGTTACTGTGCCCTGTCTGGCTTTTCTTGAACACATTAAAAAATAATAATAATAAATCATATTGTTTTAGGTATTATTTTCTCCTCTATTACATTGCAAACTTTTTTTACTTTTAAATATTCTTTAAAAACATTATTTTGGCCAGGCTTGGTCGTTCAAGTCTATAATCCCAGCACTTTGGGAGCCTGTGGGTTCGAGACCAGTCTGGGCAACATGATGAGACCTCGTCTCTACAATAAATTAAAAAATTAGCCGGGCATGGTAGTGCGCGCCTGTAGTTCCAGCCACTTGGAAGGTTGAGGCGGAAGGATAGCCTGAGCCTAGCAGGTTGAGGCTACGGTGGCCAGGAGCGTGCTAGTGCATTCCAGCCTGGGCAACAGAGAGACTCTAACTCACAAAAAAAAAAAAATTATTTTTAGTTGCTGTATAACACATGTTACATGAATTCTATTGTCTTCTGTTTCTTGTTAAGGTTGTTTCCGTGTTTAGGTTGTTTCCCTCTCTGACACTACTATATATAAAGCTGCAACTGCTTTTTTCTTAACATTACTTAAAATTCTTCTGTCAACAATGAGATTAAACACTACATATTTAATAATCATTAGCTTAACTCCTAAAAAATGCTGATACATATTTGGTGTTTGAAAGTATGCTGAAAATTAACTTTGTTTCACAATGCTATCTGTTAGTAATAAATGTCTTAAAAAAAAAAACCCTCAGACATTCATGAAGATCTGGCAACCTGCCATGACTGTATTTCCACAAGATACATATTATTTAAGCTATTTACTGATTTATAACTAAGCTTTTTTTTTAAAAGGCAAGACATTTCCTGTTTACAACTTTATGGGGATAGGGGGAAACAGCGGTTTTGGGATATAAAAGGCATTTTCTGAAAGACCTTCTGGAATATATTATACTTCAAAAGTTCTCATGTGTGTCGAGCAATACAAATACATTATTTTTTTTTTAAAGAGGAAAGGATTATTGTTTCTTTGAATAAAATAATAAAAATAGAATTAAATGTAGAACATTTATTTAAATTACAGTTTTATTCCTGAACATTTAGAAGAGATGATCATTTCTATTTTCTTTATTTTCTCTTCTGTGATTACTCTGGGATTGTTATGCGGTCTGAAGGAAAAGACAGGGACACTCACATCCCCGCTGTCCATAACCATACTTGGCAATGGCAGTTGGCACTCCAACTCTGACCCACCATAGCCTTCTCAGAGCTTCCAGAAGGTCAGCTTCCCTCCTTGGTCTGCCAGTTTTTCAAAAACTGATGTGGCATGTTGGAAAGGAATAGGGACATGACGAGAGATCTTTCCCTAAAAATCTGTTATTGGGCAACAAAGACACTTTTACACTTATGTTTACTGAGTTCTGACGTGAAACTACACCATTATTTATTTAGAGGCTATTAAACGGGGTCAGTACCATTCTGCAGGAGACAGCAGAAATCTTGGAAATGGGTAGGGTGTTTTGGATGACTTAACAATTGAAAAACACTTCTGGTTTCTATGGATGGGGACTGTGGATGACAGGTGCTCTGCTATCTGGCAAGTTGTAGGTCAGGATTCTGTTAATAATGATCTGAGCCTGGAATCTAATTATTTTACATAGATTCACAATACATTTTCCTCATACAATCTTAATACACACTGGATTTTTGAGGTCTGCACTTGCTGTATAAACTGGGGTAGACCACACTTGAAGAATGCTCATGTTTACAGAGTTGATCTTCATTTTGGAGAATGAGGGCCAGCCAGTTCTATCCACCCCCCACGTCAGTAGCTGCAGTGCTCACAATCTGTGGTTGTTCTGTGTAGAGGCCCACACTCCTGGTAACATTATCATCTTATTATGAAGGTTCATATGTAAGCAGACTTTGTTATAAATAAATATTGTTTCAGAGTGGTAAAGAAGCCTTACAAAATATGTTATAAAAAAGGGCATACAATTTTACAGGTCTGAGGACTAATAACTTGTAATAAAAATCAGAAAAGAACTTTGGGCAACTTATTCTAGATTCCAGATGTGCTTAGTTGAACGTACATCATGAGCATGTATAGCCATGTGACACACAATGACATTTTTGTCAACAGTGGACAGCATGTATGACTTTGGCCCCATGAGGTTATAAGTACAGTGTTTTTACTGTACTTCTTCTCTGTTCAGACTTGTTTAGATGCACAAACACTTACCATTGTGCTACAACTGCCCACAGTATTTGGCACCGTAACATGCTGTACAGGTTTACAACCCAAGAGCAATGGACTATCCCTATAGCCTAGATGTGTAGTGAGCTACCCCATCTAGGTGTGTAAGTATATTCTGTGATGTTTGCACAACAGTTGCCTAAAGATGCATTTCTCAGAATGTACCCTATCATTCAGTGACACATGCATGCACATATGCATCTTCTGTCTTCCGGAGCTGATGGCTGCACAAACCCCACTGACCTCCAGTGTGATCCTGTTCTTCACCAGGAGTCCAATCTTGATGTCCATCAGGTTCAGGTCTTTCTCCAGCTGTTGATTGGCTCTAATCTTTGTCACCACTTCTTCTCTTAATCGTGCTACCTCCAGTTCCTCCTGGAAATCCAAGTCACTCTGATGCAATAGGTGCACAAATTTGCGAATAACTGGTAAGGGTGGGTTTTCAGAGCCAACTGCAGGAACAGGAACAGGCATACTTTAATTAGGAAAGCTTGGACTGATTATCAACAGGAAAGAAATCAAGTCTTTAAATAAAGCATTGCCAGAAAAACATACCAAGGAAAGTACTCGGTCCAGGGAGAGAGGCATTCTGTCCCTCGTATAAAATCTGGACAAGGAAACTGATCATATAAATAAATGTACAACGCACGTCTGTCCCCACTATTTTCCAGCTGTCTCCTACTCCTTTATCAGTTCCCTCTCACACTGTTTCCGGGACTCATGCACTGAGAAGATAGTCCTATCTGTGCCTCATTCACAAGGAGCCTGGGAAGGAAAGTTAACGTAAGTTACCTCGGCTCTGAGACCGTGTGGCTGAGCCAGATAAGAGATTTATGCTCTTGCTGCAGGAAGCAGAAAGTGGTTTCTTTCAGCCCAAAAGCTCTTTGGAAAACAGGAAGTAATGAAATGGTAAGTGGAACGCATGATCTCCTCGGTAGAATAAAGATTTTAGAAACAGAAACTCGGCCCTTGTCCTCTCAGCATGGACCAAGGGAGGAAGCTCAGAACCCAGAGAAAGGGTTCTGAGAGAATATTCTTATATACATTCTAAAAAGGAGTTTCCTTTAGTAATTGGAACTTTAGGCTTTAATTTCCCAGTCTTCTGATTCCTGGGGGGGAAAAATTGTCGTTTTTTTTTTTTTTTTAACATGCCTAATGAGATCAACTCTGGGTAAACTGTAAGAATAAGCTGGACCTTCGAGGATGAATGATTATACCCAGCAACACAAATAAAGAGACAGTCCAGTCGTGGCAACCTCCATGGCTGCCTTTCTTCACACCTGGGGCCCTGGCCAGTCTTCCCTTCATTTCCAGCTTAGTTCTGTGGTGTGTTGACGCTCCAGAAATAAGAAAAGCTAAACTAACAAAACAATTAACAGCATGAACACCAAAGTCTCCAGTCATCTATATCTCTATTGCCACTGATAAGGTCTTTATTGGAGAAATTACTTTGCTCATGGACCCTTCGTTTCCTGATCACTGGAGCACATCACTTTATTTTCCTTCCATTTCCAGCAAAGATGCTGCCGACGACATGCCTTTACAGGAAAAGCCTGAGCAATGCTCCAGATGCATGTACCTCATCCACGCAACTAAGACGGAACACACGAGCCCTTCCACTGTGGCCAGAGGCCACAGCTGCTGTATCCTCCCTCTAATGACCCGTGTACTTAGGATGCACTAACAGGCCTGTTAGAAACAACTAGATTAGTATTTTAGCTTTACTAATTGTCATGCCTCAAATTTAATATTTCCTCTATCTATGCTAGGCCTTTTGGCATTTTCATCTGAGAATCACTTTGTGGTACAGATACTTTAATTTTAGGAAATCACATCATTTTATAATCTGTACCTACAAGCGTCCACATCATAGTTCCAGCAACTTCTGAGTATGAATGTGTTAAGTGCCATTCCAGAAAGGGGGGGGGGGGGCACAGATGATGATAAACTAAGAAAAGTGAAAAATCTAAAATTTTAGTTCGTTTTCTAAGGTTTTAGATTTTTATAAGTGCTGAGCTGAGAAATGAAAATTTACATTTCAGCTACCATAAAACCATTCGATTTGCTGAAACCCAGAGAAGTTTAGACCTAACTTACTCACTAACATAGTTTCTATTCACCTTTTATGCCAAAGATAAAACTGCCAGATTTTACAATCAGAATTTCTTTTGTCCTTATTTACAAAAAATGTAAAAAAAGGAAAACTATCACTGCAACAGTCTACAAAAACATGTTATCTAGAAAGAAATGAAAACTAGTCTGTGTTCATTTGGAAAATGTATTCTTAAATCGTCTTTTATGTACCAAGGCAACAGCAAGCCTGTTTTAGTGTGTTAGGGCTCAGAAAACAAACCCCCTATTCAGCCTTCTTGTAAAAAACATAAAGCTATCTACCAACTGAGAGGAGTCTCATTTATTCAAAAGCAGGGAAGCTGACTGCATTGAAAAGACAGGCTGACCTTTCCTTACTCAGCTTGCACACTAAATTCTGGACTCTAGTGGAATAAGGTATTATTCAGTAGATTCTACAGGCTGGAGGCAGAGTGAGGCCTCTAGCACTTCCCTTGGTTTCTCCTCAGCAAGGACCAGGGTTGATCTTTCTTGAGCCATATACTTCATCCTTTAATTCAGACACACTTTACATGATAAAGCTGCCGGCTAACCTACTTAGTAGGCACTGTTAGTACTAACACATTTATCAGCAAGCTCTTCCTGAGTTAATCTAGGACCTGTGCATGTTCTTGTGATAATCAGAATGCTGAAAATTTAGTATACAAGGAATCATCTTATGATCTATGAAAACAGTAACAAAACACAGGCAGAAGTGGGACTGCAAGAAGACAGCACAGAATGTGATTGTCATTTCTAGGCGATTTTTATTTTATCTTGTTGTTTTCAAGTTTCTACAAATGGCATATACTAGTACTGTAAGAAAAAAATATTTTAAAAAATCATAGCTGCTGTGAAAAGTCCAAAATGAAGTTACAGGAAGATATTTACAGTTATCATTTTTGGGAGATGAGACTGTTCTTTTTCCTCTGTACTCATATTTCCAAAATTTCTTACATGAACATGCTTCCTTCTTAAAATCAGGGGGAAAAAAAACATGGGTCAACTAATATATTAAAGAATTTAAATGTAGTATTATCTCCTGGTTAACACTTTTGCATAGATTCTTGACTCTAGCTCAAATTAGGGGGGAAAAAAATAAACATTTTTGCCAATAGTATTCTTATTGAAGATGACATTATACCCACGGGGCTGATCCCTGTCACTTACACTAGGAATGCCCATTTCCTGTCACCTTGTAGTCCTCTGTGTACTGGTTCAGAACCTGAAGCTGGAGATGATAAAAATCTACTGGAAACAATGGGCATCCTCTGTTTCTGCAGCAGCGTCTGAAGTATCTAATATGGAAAGAATCTGTCCTTGCCTGACTTATAAGGAATTCACGTTTGGTTTCAGAATGCCCCCACTTACCTAGTGTTTTGTAGTCATCTCTAGCTTTGGTTGCTCTCAATAGTGACTGTATTTTCACAATCTCATTAGTCTGTAAAAGATTAAGACAAGTTACAACCACCCAGAGTCCTATTGTCTCCATTATTTCTGAATTTAGAACATTTAAGAACCATCAGTATTTAAGCACTGACACTACTTAGAACTGACAGTATTTGGATGTGGCGTAGTCAACATTTATTTTTCCATTTTCTTTGCAGAAGGGGTCAGATCAGTTAGCTAAAAGGATAAACAAGACTGTAGGAGGACTATTTAAGTAAAGAGATCTAAAAAGGAAAGATAATTTTAGCACAGAACTTAGATGATCCAATCTATGTTCCCATATCTGCTCTTTAAAGATTCCTCTTGTGGACTTCCATTTAAATTAATCAGTTAGCAGTTAGAAAATCATACATAATGTTGGAAAATACTTTTCCAGAATCCTCCCTTTTCGGTGATAGTATCCCACCCTGTTTTCTCCTCATTTGTTTTCACGGTAACCTTAAATTTCTGGGCTCAAGTGATCCTTCTGCCTCAGCCTCCCAAAGCACAAGCCACTAAATCTGTTTTCCATTCAGTTCTAACTGGTGAAATCTTACTCTCAACATGATTTCTGAATTTAAAAAGTAACCCTCCTCAGCCGGGAGTGGTAGTGCATGCCTGTAATTCCGGCTACTCAGAAGGCTGAGGCAGAAGGATCGCCGGAGCCCAGCAGGTCGAGGCTGCGGTGGCTGGGAGCGGCCACTGCACTCTAGTCTGGGTGACAGAGTGAGACTCCAACTCAAAAAAAAAAAAAAAAAAAGTAAGCCTCCAAATACCATCACATTAAGTTCTGAGTTCCATTCTTCCTAAGTGTTCATTTTCTTTATTTAATAAAAATCTTACAGAGCTGACATTCAACAAAGCATTGAACTCAGTCTCAATCTAGAAAAAAACCCACATACATTTTACTTACATGGTCTCTGAAATACTGCAGTCGTGAAAGGTAGTTCTTTCTTGCTGTTACCATTCGGAACCAGGACTGAATCTAAAAATAAGTTAAATAGAGAAGTCAAGGCAATCACCAAACAAGCCTTAATGTAGTTTTTCTAAAAATAATATTTGATAAAAGTCAGAAGAGCTCACAAGTAATACAAATCTAAAACCTCATCTTCATCTCCCACTTCTTTCATTGTTTTCTCTTAAGGGGCTCAAAACACTTTACATGTTACCCTTCATCTCACCATCTGCACAGGAGAGAGGTGGGGAAGGTTAATGCAGCTTTGTCCTATTTTGCTTTAATCTCCGTAAATAAAAGTCAAGAGGGCAAGGCATTTTGTTGAGAGTTGCAATGAGTCAGTAAATCAAATTAAACTAAGTCTAGGGTTTCTTCTTACATTCGTTAAATTTATCTGATATCCTTTAGGTTTTTACAGGAAAACATCTAGAGAGGGCTCATGAGGGACGGGCCATCAGGAGTTTTCCGAGAAAACAGGCACATGTTCCATGAGGAGCACAGGACGTGTCATCAAGGGGCTACTGCACAATGTCGTCCTCTGCCTTCACAGTTTAAATGTCTCTTAAACTAATCTCTGAGACCACTTTCTCTCCACTCCACTACTTCAACTCCATAGATTTCCAGGTTCATTTTTATACAGTCCCTTGTCTTTCCTTTTCTTTCTTGCCCAGAGCTACTTGCCTGGGTTGCAAAGCTGGGTTAGCCTAGTTCAAGTCCCAAAGACAGGTCCTGAGTTAGCTCTAATTCCTCTAGTCTTGGTTTTGCATTGCCTTACAACTAGAGGTTCTCTGCTGCTCTGTTTGAGATTCTAAATAAGAAAAAGCCAATGTGAAAAGAAGAACCTGAAATAAAGCTCAGCTCCCCCACAGTTTAAAGAATCAATTTGGAATTTCTAGACAAAGAGCACTGACTGGTTGCAAAACACCTTCACACATGATTCCGAAGACCACATGAAGGACCTGAGTCAGCTGTTATGGTTTAATTGACTTGCTTGAACATGATCAGTTAAGTGAGTAGCAGAGTTGGGGTTCTAATCCAGGCCTACCTCTGACTTCAAGGCTCACACATACCCTCTCCATGACTGTCTTCCAGAATCAAAATGAAATGAGTGGAAAAGTTTAAGTCAAACACCTGCTATGGTAGGAAACAATATTTACCTTCACGATAGAATCAATGTTATCGTTGAACATCTGCCGCCTGTGCAGATATGCCTTCTGTTGTTTATGTCCTTTCCAAAAAGCCTAAGGAAAGAGTGGGTGACTAAATTATGTACATGCAAGTTTCTCAGTTGATTTAGAAAGCGCAAGAGCAGAATGCATCTCCCAAGGCCCTGAGCTGGGACACTGTCAGAGACTCTCCCCTCCTAGTCTCATTTGGATACCCTTTCTAGGATGGTCATTGAATCAAGGCAGAACACACCCACTCACAGACTTGTCCCAAGCTCAGGAAAGCAGAGTGAGTGTGACCAGTTGTCAGGTAGGAGCCCAGTTTTCCACTTGAAAATTTAACTTTACCAAGTCCCTGGGTGACAAGGAAGAATAATATAATGGAATTTTTCCTAAATACACAAACAGTATTAACTGGATGCTGGTGTTATTTGGCAACAATATAAAATGCTAGCGAGTAATGCCTATAAGTATCTTTATTCCAACAAGGGGTTCACTGTGACACAGGCTAGAAAGGAAGATGCTCCATTAACTTGTGACCTTGAATTCCTTGGGTCCCTAAAAATCTAGTGCTGCAATTGACTGTGATTTCAAATATTCCCACATAAAGTCTAATGACGCTTCATCAAAATGGCTTTACATGGTTATCACCATTACAGAAGATTTTTATAGGAAATATTTACAAAAACTGGGCACACATCAGTATCTTTAGAAGGATTAACTTTATTACTATTATCAGTTTATTCTAATTCATTTATAAGTATCTTTTTATTGAAACATATCTTTGTAACTTACTTCAATTCTCTAATCTTGCTTTTCAAATTAAAAATGAAATAAAAGTTCCTTGTTTAATATAGTAAATATAAAAATTAAATTATTTCTGTAAACTTCTATTCATATAGTATGCAAAGGAGGACTTAAAACAAACAAACAAAGCCAGAATTATCTTTTGGAGGGTGGGCGCCTTGTAGTACACTCAGAATTTGTTCCTCTGGATCAAACAGTCAATCAAAATTTTTATCTGGAAGTTTTGAGAAGGTTGCATCAAGATTTGTGGAAGAAATGTCTCACGTTGTGGCGAACAGGTGTCTGGTTCTTCCACCACGGCAACAGACCTGCTGACACTGCACTGAGTGTTCAGCAGTTTGGGACCCCACACAGCATGACCCCGGTGCCCCATCCTCCCTATTCGCCCAGTCTCTCCCCCAAGTGACTTCTTTTGTTTTCCCAGATGAAAAAAGTCCTCAAATGTGGGAAGAGATGAAACAAAAAATGGCAGAAGCACTAAAAGGCATCAAAATGGATGAGTTCAAAAACTGGGGCAGTGAAAAAAGCATCTTGAGAGATGTGTTGCATCAAATGGAGAGTATGTTGAAGGTAACTGAAGCTTTTAACCATGTAAAAATAAATACACAATTTTTATAAATAAATTGCATGTATTTACCTCATTGTTTTAAAAAAGGGTACATGGAATTACTTTAAAAATAATATACTTCTTTGTAATGATTCAAAACAAAACAGGGCAGAATAAAAGTGATTAACTGAGCATTTGCTCCAGACTTCCTATCGCAATCTAAATCCCTAGAAATGATACCGCTTTTAAAAAAACCTTTGAATTTCGAAAGAAGTATTGCCTCACAAGAAGCAGCAAAAATTACACACTGAGTTTCATGTATTCTTCAGCCAGCTTCCCCAACAGCAACATCATATGAATATACTTTTAAAGCTATCTACAATAGTCCTAGACAACAAGAAGGTGTATCAATAAAAATTATGAGGGTTTCTGGATGAGACATGTCAGTTGAAACTGAACTCAAAGAGGGAACCACAGAACAAATATCCACAAAATGTGGGAACACCTTTGGGATGGCTCTAAACTTGAAGGAGCCTTGGGCAGCAGTAATTTTGGGAAAATTATAACCCTGTCTATGTGCCTATCAGTGGACAACAAAAGAATAGATGGGGACTTTTGGGGAGGGAATTTAGCAATATCAAATTCAAAAGTATTTAGCCTTTTATCTATTATTTCCAATTTTCTTTCCTTTTCTTTTCTTTTTTTCGAGTCAGGGTCTCACTTGTTGCCCACACTGGAGGGCAATGGCACCATCAGGGCTTACTGTAGCCTTGACATCCTGGGTTCAGGGGATCTTTCCACTTCAGCCTCCTGAGTAGCTGGGTCTACAAGCATGTTCCACCATGCCTGGGTAGTTTATTTTTTATGTATTTTAGAGATGAGGCCTCACTATGTCCCCAGGCTGGTCTCCAATTCATGGACTCAAGCAATCCTCCTGCTTTGGCCTCCAAAAGTGCTGGAATGACAGACATGAGCCGCCACGTCCAGCCTCTAGTTTTAAATATATGTAGCCCAAGGAAATTCAAGTACCTGTGTAGAAAAACCATCTGTAAGGATTTTTTATTGCAGGACTGTAATACCAAAATGTGCACCCAGTAGAATGTTCACAAACTGGAAATCAGCCAGATATATTGTGATTGCACTTATACTGAGGGATGCAGCAGTTAAGAAGAATGAAGTAGGGAAACAAACATATACTAACTGTGGAGATGTTTTGTATCTTGGGAATAGAGGATCGCCAAGAAACATGCTAAGGAAACTGTAGCTTGCCACACATATTATGATACAAGTTTAAAAATAGAAAAACACAAAAAATAAACACATAAGAAAAACACACAAAAAATGTATATTTCTATGCAAACAATCTGTGCCTCAGTGTTTAGAAGATCTGTTGGAAAAGAGAGAAAGGGTAGATGTACCTGTGCCCCTATTCTTGTTTTCACCCAACTACTCTACAAAGGGAATTATTAGCTTTTTATTACATACCCTTTGAAATATGCACAACATGTATAAACATACATACCCATCATCATGCACAAAAATACAAACTTATGCAAAGATGTGTGTATATATGTGTTATGTGTCCTTTATTTTTGACAAAATAGGCTCCAATACTATGCCAAGGTTTGCTTTCTTCTCTGAATTACATACAGTATTGATATTATTTCACAAGTTAAGAAAAAGCAGATTCCCCACTATTTTTAAATGACTGCACAGTATTCTACAGTACAGATTTGCCATGATGTAAAAATTCACTTAGTGATGTACATTAAGTTGTCATCATTTTTTGTAGCAAACAATCTTGCAGACATTAATTATACATTTTGTGTGAACGTTTTAATTAAGATACATTACTACATAGAAAGCACAATCTCATTCACAATAGCCACACCAAAAAAAAAAGAAAGAAATACCTTGGCACCCTCCTAACCAGAGGAGTAAAAGACCTTTACAATGAAAACTACAAAACACTGCTCAAAGAAATCAAAGATGGCACAAAGAGAAAAATATTCCATGCTCATGGAGGAAGAATCAACATTAAGATGTCCATCCTACCAAAGGTAATCTACAGATTTAACGCAATACCCATTAAATTACCAGCAGCATTCTTCTCAGACCTGGAAATGACAATACAGTAACTCATATGGAAACATAAAGACCATGAATTGCCAAAACAATCCTCAGCCAAAAAAGCAAAGTGGGAGGTATCACATCCCCAGACTTTAAACTTTATTATAAAGCTACAATAATCAAAACAGTCTAGCATTGGTACAAGAATAGGCATATAGAACAATGGAACAAGATAGAGATTCCAGAAGCAAAACCTCAATTTCACAACCAATTCATCCTCAACAAAGCCTCCACTAACAACCACTGGGGAGAGGAGAACCTATTCAGTAAATGGTGCCGGGAAAATTGGCCGATCACATGCAGAAGATTAAAACAAGGCCCCTTTCTATCACCGTACACAAAAATCAACTCTAAATGGATCAAGACCTAAAAGTAAAACTTCAAACTATAAAAACCTTAGAAAACGCAGGAGACACCCTTATGGAAATTGGAACTGGCAACCAATTCCTGATCAAAACCCCAAGTGCCCATGCCATAAGAGATAAGATAGACAAGCAGGACCTCATTAAACTGACAAGATTTTGCAAAGCCAAAGAAACCATCAAGAGATCAGGGAGACAGCCCATAGACTGGGAAAAAAATATTTGCCAACCGTATATCTGACAAAGACTTAACATCTAGGATCTACAAGGAACTCAAACGTGCCAAAAAGAAAAAAAAAACAAACAAACAGCCCCATTACAAAGTGGGCAAAAGATATGAATAGACAATTCTCAAAAGAAGACATACAAGCAGCCAACAGATACAAAATTACTCAGCCTCACTAGTCATCAAAGAAATGCAAATTAAAACCACACTGAGATACCACCTAATTACAGTCAGGATGGCCATCATCAATAATTCAAAAAACAACAGATGCTGGAGAGGATGCAGGGAAAAGGCAACATGTCTACACTGTTGGTAGGGGTGTAAACTAATACAACCTCTGTGGAAAACAGTTTGGCGATTCCTAAAAGATCTAAAAATCAAACTTCCACATGACCCCACAATCCCTCTTCTGGGAATATACCCGGAAGAACTCAAATCACTCTATGAAAAAAATATCTGCACTTGTATGTTTATTGCAGCATTATTCACAGTGGTAAAAACATGGAACCAACTGCCCATCGAAAGAGGGCTGGAGAAAAAGAATGTGGTACATATACATGATGGAGTATTATGCAGCCATAAAGAAGGACAAAATTATGAACTTCACAGCCATTTGGATGGACTTAGAGGCTATAATACTGAGTGATCTTTCACAGAAACAAAGAACTGAGTATCCTATGTTCTCACTCATAAGCAGCCCTTGAACAATTGTTGTAATACTATAAGAAAAGGATTGGCAGTAGTGGGAAACTGTGGGGGTGGGGGCAGGATTGGCAGTAGTGGGAATCTGCTGGAGGGGGGAGCACAACTCATCAACAAGGGCACCTGCATAATGAACATTTGTATACCTAATCCTGAATTGTACCCCACATGTTTAAAATAAAAAACAAAAAACAAAAACAAAAAAAGGTACATTACTAGAAAAGGGATTATTGGGTCAATACTTGATATTAAAAATTGATACTGGTGTTAATATTGGTACTACCAAAAGTGCCACCAAAAG